GCTCACCGACCCCCCCCCACCACCACCACCACGGTCCGGGCTACCGGGACCCCAACAGCCGGCCCCGGATCCTGCACTCACTTCGCCGCAGGACCTGGATTCCGGCCGTCAACGACTCGGGAAGGTCAGCGAGCGCGCAGGCGTCGCGCAGGGCCTGCCGGGAAGGCGGGAGGAGCAGTGAAGTTCACAGTCCAGAGCGCCTCCTCGGCCGCGCCAGCGCACCACAGTGCCCCTGGCGGCCGCAGGCAAGAAGGACGGCTGGCGAGCCAGGGCCTTAGGGGGTCGGAGTGAGAGCTCCAGACACTGTACCCCACAGACGCAGTGTTTAAAAGTAACCACGCTTGGGACCAGCAGCTAGCGTAATGGCTAAGTCGCAGGCCATGTAGTCACCCGCGGTTTGAGTCCTGGATGCGGTGGCTTAAACTCACGCCAGGCGCATGTGCGTGTGTGCCCAAGATCCCGAGAGGAGAGGAGTGGTGGTGATTTCTCACTTTCTCTCGTACTGTCACTGTTTCTCTCTCTCTCTTTCTCTGGTGAGCGCACCCAGTCTAAGGATAAAAACCTCTAAAAAAATAAAATAAACATAACCATGCTTAGCTGGCTCCATGGCTTCCTGACTGAGGCCCTACTTGATATAAGCCAGCTCCCCTGCTTCTCATCTTGAAACACACCCAGCACCTGCCAGGCTGAGACCCACCTGGCTGGAGGACTGGAAGAAGGGAATTGTGGCTTGATCAGACCCTGTGGAGGTGCTCGTCTCTTTCACTCTCACCTGTGCACACACACTCAGCCACGAATAAAGAAAGAATGTTTAAAAATAACTGTGCTTGGCCCAGCCTCTGTGGCACAGATAACAGTGTACTGGCCCGCAGGCTGGAAGCCACAGGGCAGTTCACTCCTGAGTTGACATGAAACACATGGCGGCATGCATGACCCAGATCCCCACTAGCGGGAGGGTTGGGGGGAAGGGCATTGCAGTGGGACAGACCTTGTCCAGGGTGCCCCTCCTCCCCTCACATGTATGTGCTCTCTCATGAAAGAAATGGCATAGACCTAAAAAAATGCTTGCTATGTTTAAGGAAATTAAACAACATTGAAGATTTTACCAGGCAATTGGAAATCATTAAAAACAACTACTTGCCTGACTTTAAAAGAGCCAAACGAAAACTAGGTTTAACAGAAACATTAGATAGTTAAAGAGTCATCAGGCAGGTTAGAAGAAACCTTTCATGGGGCCAGATGGTGTAGTGGTTAAGGCTCTGGACTCCTACATGGGCAACTGAAGCTCAAGTTCTGGACCTGGCAACTTGAAATTCATGCCAGGTGCATGTGCGTGTATGCCCAAAATCCTGATAGGAGAATGGAGAAGAAGAGGTTGTAGCATAGCCTTTTTCCCTGGGAGGTGATCTTTCACTTTCCCTCTCTCTGTCTCTCTTTGGTGTGTGCATGTGACCTATAGCAAAAACAAAACAAAGCTGGTCATGTGTAATTGCAGTCTTAGAAGGGAATGCAAGAGAGTTGGGGCAGAAATATTTGAAGGAATAACAGCAGACTGAGAATTTCCCAAAAGTGATGAAAAATAAAGTGATGCCAAAGATTTAAAACAGGAACCAAGCAGGCAGATACATGAAAATAATAACTTTGAGCAATCATAAAAGTATAGAAAACTAAAGACAGAGACCGGGTCAACAGATTTTCAGTGCCTTTTGTTTCAAATCTGGAGCTGTAAGAACACACATCTTCAAAAACCAAAGCCAAAACAAAACCAAAAACATAAATATTCAAGGAAAGGACCACCCCAGTGATTGACTCAAAGTATAGAATGCTGCATTTTGAAGCTTGGGAGGTCAGTAAAGACATAAAAGTACTTTGAGCACAGTTTCTCCTGCTTTATGGAGAGTGTTCCTTACAGGCATCACCTTCATTCATAAGTGCTCCCAGATCTTTGTTCTCCTTTCATCTGCAACTCTGTGAATGCAAACATGCAAAACCTCCCCCAAATACCAAGGTCCACCTCGATGCATTCGTTGGACTTTCCACGTACTCTGGTCTAGATATCTACAAACCTATTTAAAAAATATTAATGACAGGGACCAGCACTTAGCCTAATGGCTATGTCGCTGGACTCCCACGTAGTCGAGCGCAGTTCGCATCCCAGACCCAGTGGCTTAAAACTCACGCCAGGCACGTGTGCGTGCGTGCCCAAGATCCCGAGAGGAGAATGGAGAAGGGATTGCAGCGTGGCCATCCCCCCTGGGGGGTGCTTTCTCACTTTCTGTCTGTCTCTGTCTTTCTGATGAGCGCACGTGCCCTATAGCAAAAACCTCTCCTCAAAAAACAAAAACAACAGCAGCAACAACACAAAATATTAATGACAAATAAAATTAAGTAATTATTTAAAAATTTGTTTCCGATGTTGGGGCCAGCAGGTGGCATAGTGGTTAAGGTCCTGGACTCCCACTTGGTCAAACACAGTTCAAGTCCCAGATCTGGCAGGTTGAAAATCACACCAGGCATGTGTGGGTGCATACCAAAAATCCCAAGAGGAGAATGGAGGAGAAGGGATTGCAGCATGGCCACCCCCCTGGGGAGGGTGACTTCTCACTTTCCCTCTCTCTGAATCATTTTCCTTTCCAGCAAGTGCACAAAACCTATGGCAAAAAACCTAAATAAGAAATTCTTATGTTAAACAGTCACTCCTCCCCCTTTTGTTTTGGGTGTGTGTGCTTTCCAGAGAGACAGAGAGAGCGAGAGAGAGAATGAGAATGAGAACTCACCCACCTCCTGCCCCTGGAGATGGACATGCCACAATCCCTTCTCATCCATTCTTTTCTTGGGGTTTTGGGCGCACATGCACACATGCTGGGCCTGATTTTCAAACTGCCAGGTCGAGGATCCAAACTGCAGAGTTGGCCATGTGGGATCCAGTGCCTTAACCTCCACACCACCTGCTGGCTCCAGGAACTTAAGAGAGCTGGAACAAGGGAGTAGTCTCCACCAGGAACTGCCAAATCAAATGAAGGGAGCTCAAAGCTATTTGGCCTTTGTTGATGTAGAATGTTACCTACCGTTTAGTTAGGAAAACGGCAATTACTAGAAATGAGAACAAATTTCCAACTGAAGCAGCATCAAGTGTCCTTCGATTGCAGTTAAAAACTCGAATTCTCACGAGAACAAAAGTGTAGCCCAGAGGTAAAAGAAAATGACTCCCAAAACAAAATGTTTGTCTGAAATAAAACCTCTTCAGAAGAGCATTTTTCACTTAAAAATATGCTCACTGCAACATCGGCAAGGGATGCTAGCATACAGCAAAGCAGCATATGGGAAACGAGCCTCGGTGAGCTCTGGACTTGCCTAGTACGTTTTGCAAGATTTAGAATTAAGTCCTAGCCTTCATATAAAATAAGTTGCAATACTTTTCCATCAGTGTTGAATGACACTCAGAGCCTCAGTTCATGAATAGCTTTTGTTCTTATTTGTAAGTTCTTCTCTCCTGCCAGAAAGTGTGTTGGGGCAGCACTTTTCAGAGGTTACAGTATTTGGAAAAGTCAGGCTATCAGCTCAGGATATGAGAGTGGTGCAGTTGGGACTCGCAGTAGGATGCTGGCTTTGCAGCGTGCTCGTTGGTCAGCTGACACACTGAGAGCTCAGGCCTACCCAGTCTGACTTCTGTCACGCTGTGCTCACACTCGACTCTTGTTTGCCACTCTGGGCATCTTCCGGTCCTAACTGCTCGGCCTGCACGCCTCGATGTATTCATTCACATGGCTCTTGAGAGCCCACACATGCCAGAGCCTGCACTGGGCACCGAGGGTGTGCGAGCCGCCAGGCACATCTTCCTTCTAATTCGGTCGCCTTCCTTCCTTTGTATACTGTTGCTGGATTTGTCCATCTAGCTCTTCTTTCAGGGTTTTTCTAGGGTTCTGTCCTCCACGCTCACTCTTCTGGAGCCTGGTTGGAGTCCCTGACGTCTGGAGTTTTGACCACCATACTTCTGGTGACAACCTGCGCATCTGTGCCACTTGCCACACCTTTGCTCGGGCCGTAAGACAGTGCCACCTGAGAGGGGTTGCAGAAGGAAGATGAGTTGAGTTTGGTTATACCCTGGCCCTGAACAACTTCTTTGCAGGCCTCACTCAGGCCTTCAGCAGGGACCACGTTCCCCTGTGCGCCTCTCTCCAGGTCCTCCTTCCCGCTCGGTCCTGGTTACCCTTCATGTGTCCTTAGGTATCATTTTCCCCAAGGAGCTTCCCGTGAGCTGCTCCTTCAGCCCCCCAGTTAGGTGCAAGTCGTCCCGGCAGGGCAGCCAGGGGCGTGCCTCTACCCGTTTGCCCTGCACGCCCCTCCCCCGCCCGGGTCTGCCACTGCAGTCCCTTCCCCACTGGCGCTGAGCCAGGTTGGGCACACAGCAGGTGCTCAGTAAACGTGTCCAGATGGATTCTGAAAGGCACGAGCCGCTGACGGAGTAACCCTGGAATGGAGAGGTCAGAGTAACGCGAGGCCATTTCCTGGTACACCCACAAGGCCAAGGGGCTTCTGGGACGCCTGCAGAACAGCCTTCGACGCCAGCAGCCACCCCTCACGCCTTCCCGTCAGCTACCACCGGACGCGGCTCCAGGCAAGCCCTGCGCAGGTTAGGGGGAGGGGACGGGGCGGGGCCGGCTCACGTGGCCAGGCTACTCAGGCCGCATGCGCCAGCGGAGCCCGAGCCACGCCTCCTGTGCGTAGTGCGCTCCGATTGGAGGGCCTCGAGCAGGGGCGGGGCCGTTGGCACGGTCGAGCACGTCGAGCACGTTGCGCAGGTACTTCCCGCCGTTGCCAGTTCCCGCGCTGCGCTCCGGCGGTTGAGGCGGAGGCTCGGGTTTCGAGCATGCTGCGCAAGCTTACCCTCGACCAGATCAACGACTGGTTCACCATCGGCAAGACCGTGACGAATGTGGAGCTGCTGGGCTTGCCGCCTGCCTTTCCGGCCGAGGCGGCCAGGGACGAGGCGCAGGGCAAGGATGTGGCCCCCGGCGCCAGCCCCGAGGCCCAGGCCCTGGCCCCTGCTCCGGCCGGGGTTCCGGCTCCCGCCCCTGCTCCCGTCCAGCCAGTCCCAGGGCTGGGGAGGTAGGACGTGGGCACGGCCTGGGGCGGCAGGCTTGTGGGGAGCAGGTGCTGCTGGTGAGACCTGAACCTCCCGAGGTGCCCTGCGTGTCCGTGCCCGTTCTTGGCAGCCCTGGGGGTGACGGTCCCATCGTGACCTTGTCACCAGGCCAGTCCCAGACTGCTGCCAGAGCAGCTTAGCGTCACAGGTGTTCCGGGCTTCCTCGCAGGAAGCTGGGCCTCTAAGAGTTTTGCTTAATATTTTTCTTTCAGATTTTTTTTCACTTTTGTTAAATTAATGGGCTAATTTTTTTTAAAAGCATTTTGATATTTCGCGAAAAATTGATCAGAAGGTAGGAGAGCTCCCGTTGTAACGTGTGCGAGCCGTACCGCGGGCACAGCTGATGAACCTCTGTCGTCCCCGCCCGCAGACCGAGTGTGTGTGTGGACGACTCCGTCTGGTGTCCACCGCCGTGTACCCAGGGAGTAGTCTCACCTCTCCGAGAACCCCGCCTGCCCCGCTTACTCATCCCTCCCTCCCCACCACCTGCAACTGCTCATCTTTTCAGTGCTTTTTCCAGAATCCACAGCGTTGGAATCGCACATGTGCAGCCCTTTCAGACGTCTTTGACGTAACAGGGTGCACCTGAGGTTCCTTCCTGTCTTTTCCTGGCTTGAAAGCACATTGCTCGTTAACCTTTCATAACCTGCGTGTGTCATGGTTTCTCCAGTCACCTCCTGAGGGACAACTTGGTTGCTTCCAAGTTTTCATAGGAATAAAGCTGGTGTAGACATTCTTGTGTAGGTTTGTAAACAGACATAGTTTTCAAGTGGTTTGGGTAAACGCCAAAGTGAATGCTGCATTTGCTCAAGTTCATTCATCCTCTTCCTCTCACTATTTTTTGACATAAGTAGCTACTACCAGTTCTTTGGTTCACTGGGATTTGGCGGAAATACAAAGGCAAGGCAAGGGGACAGCCTTTATTTCTAGAAGAGGCATAGAGCTGGTGAGCAGAAACACCTGCGAGGCACCCTCTGTGAAGACGGTGTCGGAAGTTCCCCCTGCCTTGGGATATCTGTGCTCTCCCTCCCCTCAGCCAAGTTTAACACTCTCTTTTTAAAATTTTTTTTTATAGCTGAAAGGAATTGTTTGTTTTTGTTTTTGTTTTTTCAAGTTACTCTTGCTTATTGGTTGCACCACATTTGACGATAAGCCCAGACAGTGGGTCAAGTTTTTGTGGGTTGCCTCAGGCCTTTGTAGAATCCTTTCTCCTGTAACCTTGAGATGTTTGGTAAATTGGTTTTCTTGAGGGGACAGAGTCCCCCTGGTGCAACTTTAAAGAGGCCGCCTTGTTTCTAGTGCTGTCTGATGTGTTTCCTCGGATAACTCTAACAGAAGGTCCTGTAGGCCACTTCTGCTCAGTGCTCTGCTACTTGCTCCTCGGATGTGATGGACTGAAAGGCATTGCTTTTAAGTAACTCATTGCGATAGCGGAAGTAAACTATTACTGACCTTGGCAGAAACTAAGGGTATAGATTTTAGTATCATTTAATCTACTCAAGACCAGTTTCTAAAATTCCCAGTCCTGTGTGCACTGAGAGTTTTATAAAATCAATAAAAGTGATTTTCAGAGTAGTGAGATGGAAAAAAGACAAAATATAGCTCCCGTTCTAAAAAGTATTAGATTCAACATATGCAAAATGATTTAGTAGAATTGCCATAAATGTCGTAACTTCTGCACTTAACTAGTGACAGGCAAACAATGTCAGTCTGAATAGTGGTAGTTTAGATGACATTCTTCAGAGGTATCTTCCTGGTCTCCAAAAACATGTATATCCTGTGCCAAGCCTCTAGCTTTTAGCAGGCAAAGGCATTCAGTGAATATAGCGATGTTGTTTAATCCTCACTGTAGCCCTCTGAGGTTGATGGCATTATCAACTAATCAGTTTCCGTGGTTTTATAGGTGAAGAAACCTGGATTGGGTTCATATGCCCGACTTCCTGTAGCAAGTGGTGGAGTTAGGCAGAGTGATGTCCCAAGGATGTCCATTGGAACCCGTGAATGTGCAATGTAGTTTAAGTTTCTTTTTCTTTTATTTATTTTTTATTTTTAGAGATATTTTTGCTCTAGGGCATGCATGTGTGCTCGCCAGAGAAAGTAAGTGAAAAATCATCCCCCTGCGGGGTGGGATGGCCATTCCACAATCCCTTTTCCTCCATTCCTCTCTCAGGATCTTGAGCACGCAGGCACACGTGCCTGGCCTGAGTTTTAAGCCACTGGGTCTGGGACTCAAACCACTTTTGACTACTTGGGAGTCCAGCGGTGTAACCATTACGCCATCTGCTGGTCCCTAAAGTTACAAATTCTAAATAGGGAGATTGCCTACATTATCTAGTTCAATCTAGTCACATGAGCTTGTAAAAGCAGAGCATTTTCTTCAACTGGAGTTGAGAGATTTGAAATGTCATTTGCTAGAGGAGTCCTAACAGAAAACATGAGAAGGAATGCGGGCAACTAAGAGGAAAGCCTGGGTCCCGGCTGACAGAGAAGAAATGGGTCCCTCGGTCCTACGATTGCAGGGCACTGAGTTTGGCCGCCAACCTGAATGAGCTGCTGAGAGGGAATACAGTCCAGCTAGCACCTTGATTTTGGCCTTGTGAGACCCGAGGGAGAGGCTCCCGGTAAGTCCACCTGGACTGGAGAGTAAGAAATTTGTGTCCTTGCAGACTGCTGTGTGGTGGGTGATGTGTTGAGACAGTGCTGGAGGGCATTAGGGTTCCCCGGAGTGGAGCTGGGGTTCCTACTGAGAGCCCACGAAGATGACACGTGGTGGATGGCTCAGAGACTTGCTCCATCTGTCTTTCCAGTAAGGAAGTCTTGAGTGAGGTTGCTATCAGTGAGGGAGCAGTGGACACTGGAGGAAGGCGTGTGTAGACCGAGCATCCCCGTGGGGACACATCTGGTAGGGACGCTGCTCAGCGAGATGAGCTGCACCGAGGCAGGTCCAGCCTGTGAGAGCATCGCTGAGTCCGCTTAGTGGGTAGTAACCGCCAGCACTAGAGAAAATAGACGTGAGCGGTTGTAGGTAGCTGGGTTAGCACTGTTCCGTGACGTGAGCGTGTGTGGGCGGGTGTGAGTCAGGGTGTGAGTTCGTTTCTCGCTGGAAGAAGCTCTGCTGAGCTGTCAGCAGTTAGAGCGCTGCTGGTTGGTCGGGGCCGGTTTGTAAAGTATTTCCTTCCAGTCACTGCCAGGGGCTTTTCCCTTCCCTGCTTTCCCCCGGTCCTGGATGGCCCTTCTTGTTGCCTGTGGATTAAGCCCTCTACCCGTGCATTTGTCCCTGTACCTTGTCACGTGGAAAGGAACAGTTCAGTGGTTGCAGTCGGGTGTTTGGAGGGTTCTCTGGTGTCGGCGCCAGCTTTCCCGGGGATCACAGTGCACGGTCCTTGGCCCCGGCTGGGAGCCTTGCTCACACCCACGTCCTGCCCCGTGTTTCTTCGTGCTTCCCATGGCGGGCTTTCCTCAGTCTGCAGCACACTTCAAATCCTGGCTCGTGATGTTCTTTGCTTAAATCTCACTTTTGTGTCTTTGACTCTTCAATACCTCAAAGTGTGCTTTGTCTTCACTATAGCAAACTTCCAAATTTTCATTAACTATTGGTTACTTCACTCATTCCTTATTTTTTGGGGGTGGATCTTAATATAAGTCAACATTCTCAAAAGTGTTGAACCTTCCTCACAGCCAGCTTTCTCTTTCCTCCCTCCCTTCTTTTGCCTTCTTTCTTTCTATTTTTAAAATAATTTGCTGTAGGACACATGTGCTCACACGAGAGAGATGGGAGGAGGGAGTGAGAAGCACTCAGAAGGGAGGACCACAGTGCAGCTCCTTCTCCTACTTTCTCCTCTCAGGATTTTGGGAGGGTGTGCACACAGATGCATCTGGTGTGTTGTTCAGGCTGACCTCCACTTTTCTTACATGAACTTAAATGAATTATACAACACTTAGAAATTTGTTAGAGAATTATTTATTTAATTCTGTTTTTGTTTGTTTGTTTGTTTGTTTTTTAGATTTGATGAGAGAGAAAGAGAAAGTGAGAAAGCAAGCCGCCAAGTCTGAGACTCAAACCGTGGTCGGTCATGTGGGAATCTAGCACTTTTTTTTTTCTTTTTTTGGAGAGGTTTTTGCTATGGGGCATGTGCATTCGCCGGAAAGACAGAGAGACACAGAGAGACAGAAAGCGAGAAATCACCCCCAGGGGGATGGACACAACACAGTCCCTTCTCTTCCATTCTTCTCTCAGGATCTTGGGCATGCACGCACATGCACCCAGCGTGAGTTTAAGCCACTATGTACGGGACCATGGCTGAGTATGTAGGAGTCCAGCACTCTAACCACCATGCCCCACCTGCTGGTCCTGATGATTTTTTTTTCATCTTTTTTTTTTTATCTTTCTTTCTTTCTTTCTTTTTTCTTTTTTTTGAGAGGTTTTTTCGCTATAGGGCGCTCGCCAAACAGACAGAGAGAGACGTAGAGACAGAAAGCGAGAAATCACCCCCCAGGGGGGATGGTCATGCCACAATCCCTTCTCCTCCATTCTCCTCTCGGGATCTTGGGCACGCATGCACACGCACCCGGCGTGAGTTTTAAGCCACCAGGTCCGGGACGCGAACCATGGTCGACTACGTGGGAGTCCAGCGACATAGCCATTACGCTAACTGCTGGTTCCCATAATTTATTTTTTTAAGAGAGATTTTTGCTATAGGGCACATGCATGGGCCAGAGAGACAGAAAGCTAGAAATCACCTCCGTAGAGAGAGTGGCCATGCTGCAATCCCATTCCCTTGACTCTCCTTTTGGGATTTTGGGCATGCATATGCTCCTGATGTGTTTTTCGGTTTGCCAGATCCAGAACTCAAACTGTGTGAATTTTTAATTAGGAACATTGAGCTAGGCTTATCTAATCAATTTTAAAGGGAAAAGTGCTTATCATGTATGCCAAAATTATTCCACATCCAACATTACCAAA